TTTGAGCGCATGGCAATAAGGCCAAGCACTTATTTCAGGGTTCAAAAAAATATAAGACAGGGTCTTATTTTCGGGAAAACACATACTTGCTTATTTGATTTATATATCGCCTTTCATTTAAGAGCTCAAGATGGCATACTTACTTCTTCCTCTTATTTTCCCCCACAACGAACCTGGAAGGTAAGGTAGGTTGAGATTTTCCAGTAAGCTTCCATAGCTGACAGGGAAATAAATCCCAGGTGTCTAGAACAAATACCAACATTGCTGTATTGTAATGTTTCCCTTTCAAAAATGTAGACCTTGTTTCTCTGTTAAGCTATTGAAGGAAGAGAAACCTGTAAGAATGGGAGCCAAAACTATTTAATATAAAGTAGTAACCTTTGTATTGATTTCGAAGCAAAGACGCCTCTGTAAGCTTGAATACCTTTCCAGAAAATACTGTGGTTGATGAACCATCAAGGAAAATTGCTGGGTATTAAAACTGTATACTTATTTAAACAGATGTTCTATAAATACAAAGGGTATCCTGATGAAGAACAGTAAAGCCTTACTTGAACTCCATCCTTTAAATAACTATCCAAACCTCAGTAATGATTTGCTGGAGAAAAGATAAATCTCTCACACAGGTTTTTTTTCTTCAAACCTAATCGAAATGTAGTATACCAGATTATGTTGCTCCAATTATTTTTATTATTTGACTGGATTCTCACTATAAACTCTGCATGTTGTATTACAACCTTAGAACAAAAAGGAACATGATAATTCTACAATGTAGATGCAGTTGGAATTAAATATTGGATTAATCTACTTACGAGAAAGGACCATTTTTGTAACAATAAGGATGTTAACAAGGGAAATTCTAATGGCAACGTATTAGCCAACTGTATATTTCTTACTATGTTATGCTGCCCACTGTATCTGAATTCTCTCCTTGTTCTGTGACTAATCCCAAGGATGCTTTTTTTCATGTGTCAGAAAACCAGTGGTGAAATGTAAAATTTGTTACTACCAGTTCTGTGGGCATGGCTTGGGGGGTGGATAATGTGATTGGGTGGGCGTGGCCAACTTTTTTTTTTTTACTTTTAAAAGCATTTTTTCTACAACCTTAAGAGGTTGCAGAAAAAAATGCTTTTAAAAGCCTCTGCCGATCTGGCAATTCAGCTGAGATCGCTAGAGGCTTTTATAGGCATTTTTTTTTCTACAACCTCTTCGTCAGAAGAGGTTGCAGAAAAAAATGCTTTTAGAAGCCCCTGACAATCCCAGCTGAGCCGCGCGATCATCAAAGGCTTTTTTTTTTAACTTTTAAAAGCATTTTTCTGGCTGAAGAGGTGGTAGAAAAAATGCTTTTAAAATTAAAAAAAAATCCTCTGATGATCGCGCAGCTCAGCTGGGCATGGGAGTGGGGAGCAGGGATTTTTGCTACCGATTCTCCGAACCACCCACCGCCATCGCTACCAGATGGGGCGATCCAGTCTGAACCGGGAACATTTCACCCCTGCAGAAAATCTATTGTTTTATTTCAAAGCTGACTTTGTAAAGAAAATCTATTCCATCCCTCAATATCTGGACATCTGAAATTTACAGAATCTTAAGGGAAGACATCCAGATAAACTGTATTCAGGGAAAAGACCTGATGGAAAGAGATAATATTTATCCTCAATAAAGTCTCCAATATAGCAATCTGGATTATATAATCAGTTTCTCCAAGAAGCTGGCTGCAGGTTCTAGCACTTCAAAGTGTTCATACAAGCTTGCAATCCTCTCTTCCTCCAGATCAGGTTTCATTTTATCTCATTGCCATTTAATGGGAAATCTTTTTATGCCTGGTTTGGAAGAACTGCCTTTGTCCATTTCTCTGCTGTTTGCTTTTGAATCTGAAGTGAAAAAAGCCAATCTTATTTTCAATTTTGTTTTTGTCACTCATCATTGCACACTTTGTTCTTTCAAATCATGTTCTGTAATAGTAAGCGAAAGTCAGCAAAAGGCTTAGGATATGTTACACTACTAATACAGATTTTTAAGGCATACTTGTGATCAAATAAAATAGTAGTTTTGGCTAGTTCTAACTATTGTTGTGTTTGATTGGCTATTGTGATTATGAACAAAGGGGCAGGTATAATACCACAGGCATGAATTAACTCTTCAAGGGTTAATAAGTGTTCACAACCTCCTCAGATGGTTACTGTGCTGCATTGACCAGCTGGAACATAAATCTTCTCGTTTACTTTTTCAGAGGAACTCTGCAGCTAGATTTGCACATTATGCTAAACTGTGGTTGGTTTAAACCATGATTTGTAGAAAAAACAATTAGATTCACACAACACATCTGCCAAGACAAACAAATGATGTGGCAGAGCGAAATGTGCAAATCCAGATTTTATGTCACTAACTTTGTCTTAGCCCCACCTAGGTTGTTGTAGGAAAAACTGGAAGAACCTTAATGAGAACAAGGTTCTAACAGGAGGCATCATATTTAAAAAAAACACACACTTTGGTATTCTAAATCAAGCTGTTAATTTCACAATAGCAACAGTATAAGGAGAGCAGTAATATGTTTCGAATTATTGACTTCTGATGGTATTTTGGCAGCAGCATTTTGTACCAGATGCAGTTTCCAAAGATTTTTAAAGACAACCCTGTTGTTAGTGTATACTAATTTGTAAAACGTGGCCAAGTCCACTATCTGCAGGAGAGGCTACGCTTGAAGCCCCTCTCAGTTATGTTATGTTACAACCTACTGTTGTCATTGTCATGTTCAGGGTAAAGGGAGACTCCCAAACTGTCTATCTGATTTTTCCAAAGAAGCTAAATTTCAGAAGAACTCTGGTAGCATATTTTCAGATTAACACATATTACTAAAGTGAAGGCTTTCAGGAGCTAGTTCACTTAATCAGCATCTTGTTCCAGAAGACATGTATATAGCATGAAGTTGTTTTTTTTAATCACTCTCTAAAAGTATATTTGGGCTACAGGCAGATCCCAAATCTGAGAAATATGAGATTGCTAATGAAGCAGAGTAGCAGTATTTAAATGAAGTTGTAAATATTATGGGCAGCAGGAAAGATATTAATCAAACACTAACCTTCCATTTTAACCTTAACTTACCTTCCACACTAGATCTAAATAATACAATATGGTTTCTTATCATCCAGCTTCAATTCCTCAAAGTGGCCCAGGTGTTATGGTAAATAAGCTTTAGCTGCCACTGTGTGTCCCATGAAATCTTTGAAGTTTCATTTTTCCTCTCCAATTTAAGTGCTGGTTATTAACCAAGGCAGTTCCAGTCTTAATGCAACGAATTGGGAAAGTGAAGCAATGAATTGGTGTTGTATGTGTTTATAGTTGCAAGGATTCTATTCTCTTTCTAGTGGAAAACATATTTGGTTTTCCTTAAGGGAAATAATAATCACCTACTTTAAAGAGGGGAACATCAAGGAGAGGTTTTATGGGGAGAACGAGATAGAACAAAATAAAATATAGAAAGAGATGAGGAATTTTACAAGAAAAAACCTAGTGAGATATATATCATTAGATGTTTGGGGAGCAAATAGTAGAGATAATTTAAAGGGGAAGGGAAAATTTGGGATTTTATTACATTAAAATGGTACTTTTATGACTTATATCTGTCTGTATTCTTATATATTAAACGGTTTGTTTGTTCTTTTGAGTTCTTTCGGGAAATAAATCAGGGTATAAATATTTAAATGAGAAAAGGCTAGGAGGTGGTGGATGACATACTGTGAAAGTTACTGAACAATTAAGAGCCAATTTGATGGAGTGGTTAAGGCATTAGACTAGAAACTGGGCAATCACAGATTCTAGTCCTGCCTTACATACAAAGCCAAATGGGTAAGCTTGGGCAGATCACTCTGAGTCAGAAAGGTGTTGGTAAACCATTTCCAAAATCTTGCCAAGAAAATTGCAGGGACTTGTTCAGACAGTTACCAGGAGTCAACAAACTGAAGGATAAAGACAATAGTTTTAGAGCTGAATTCAGATGAAAGAAAAATGGGAAACAACGTGTGTGTGTGTGTGTGGGGGGTTATGTATAAGAAAAAAGGGAACTAAGATGAAAACCAAGGAAAGAGTTGCAGTCAGCAGGAGTTATTCAAAGAAAGAGAGAACATAAAAATGAAGGATAAATCACAAAGGCTACAGATTCTGAATGCGGATAGTTGAGAAACAGAAAGAGGAGGTGCAATAGCTTTCACTCCAGCCCGGGTGTTTCCAGAAACCCTTGGTTGACCACTGCAGGAACAACATTCTGAATTGGATTTGCTTTTGTCTGATCCAGCGAGTTTCCAGAAGAAATAGTGAAGGGCAATATTTATGGCGTTGGATTGAGAACCCAATAGAATTCTAGGGGACTAATTACTGAAAGCATTTTTTTTATTAAAAAGGAATTCGTAAAGAAAGGAGGACCCCACAAATTTGTGAAGAGGCAAGGGTGATAAATTTATCATTTTTGCTATTGACAAGTTTATCATTTTTATTTGAAAACGTCAAGTTTTACCTTTTTTTCCCACTGGGTCAACTATCACTTATGAGGTCCTAATGTCATTTGGTGTGCCACAGGACACCAAATGACATTAGGTGGTGTCATTTGCTGTGCCACAGGATTTCAAGCAGAGGCTACCTAAGACTGAATTGGGGACTTTCCGTCCTCCAAGCACATGTTTTGCCTTCTTCAAAACCAGCCTTCCCTGCCCCCCACCCACACTCCAGCGCACTGTGGCTAGCCCCGCCCACTTTGCATCCGGCCCCTCCCACACCTGCCGTTCCCTCAGTCCTCGACTCGCCCTTCTAGTTTGCGCGAAAGTTCCTTCCGGCCTCCTACTGCCACCTGCTCTTCGCGTCTAATCAGGAGACTTGGCCGGTAAACACCATTCCAGGGCAGGGCGAAACTGGGCGTGGCAGCGTAGAGGTGACTGCGCCTCCTCCAGGCGGAATAGGCCATTCAGAGATCTGGGGGCGTGGCCTGTGTCCATGGGGACCAGGGATGGGCTCTGCCAAGCTCGCTGTTCACTCCCATTGTTCGCTGGGTCGAGTCACTTGGAGCGGGGCGGAGTGGAGAGAGGCAGTCAAGGCGGTGGCGACGGGGCCAGCAGGTGGGTCGTGGGGGGGGGGGAATAGGGTGGGGGAGGAAGGAAGGAAGGGCCAGAGAAGGGACCCCCGGGCGAGAGGTCGCTTCGGAAAGGGGGGCGTATGGGGGGGGGCGGCAAGGGATGGGTTTTCTCCGGGGAAGCTGGCTGGGAAGACAGTCCCGTGTAAAAGAAGTATGCTTAAGGGGAATGGCGAGGGGAGACCCCTCCCGCCGAAGGAAGCCTTTGGGCGCTGCCCCGCGGCAATGAAGTGACATGCAGGAGGGGATTCGTGCGGGGGAAAAGGGAATAAGGGGCGAGTTTGGGCTCCACACCCCAAACTTACCTCCACGCTTTCTGCCATATGTCGAGGGGTTGGTCTTTCCTTGCTCTCCCGGGGTGGTGCTGGAGGGTCTTGGGGGGGGGGAACGTGGAGCTCCGTGGGGAGGGTTGCAAGAAACGGAGAGGTGGGTTAAAAGGAAGCGAACGCCGGTGGGGCGTGGGTAAAAAAAAAAAAAAAAACCGCCAGTGCCTGAATGAAATCCGGTGGGGTTTTTTCCCCCTCTGGAGTCTGAAGGGGAAATGCGGGAACTTGTGAAGAAGGGACGTGGTAAGGAAGAAGGGCCTCTGGATAAACGGAGGGCAACTTGATAGGGAAGGGGCTGCGAATCGTTCGGAAGATCTCGCCGATTGGTGGTTTGTGCCTCCAAGATATGGGGAGCCTGTTCTTGGGTCCACGATGGTTTTGAAATGGTGGCGGGGTGGCGTGGCGTGGGAAGCTCATGCCAGTTGAGGTAGTTTTCGGATGCGCTCATCGAAGCTGAAAAGAAACAAGACTTTTGGCCCAAGGGAAGAGGGGGAAGGTGCTGGAAATGAGCTGTAATCCCCTCATGGGAATAGGAGCACAAAGACCATTTTGGAGTGGTAGGTGTGAGATAAGCTTGAGTTGGGGCATTGGTTTTGGCTCTGCAGAGAAACCTTTGGAGAATGAGGTGGTCCCTCCCCCCCCCCCCCCCCCCCCAGTGATCTTTGTGATGGTGATACACATTCCAGGAATTGTTGAGAAAAAGTTGGGCAGGGCAAGACATTACAGAGTGAGGTTAAGGGAAATGGAGAGTTGAAGACAGTAAAAGAGACCATTCTGATTAATGGAGGTGGAAGAATACTTGGGGGGAATTTGGCATTGAGCTGGAAAGATTTCTAGTTGTCAGCTGCTCTGCTTCTGTTTCAAGGTCAGTGTTTTAAAATGTACTTTACATTTTGGCCCAAGAATAATTTCAGTTATTGGGTTTAGGAACTGAAATCCCATTAAGTTGGCTTACTAGTTTATGGATTCAGTTTACCTAACGATGGTAAGTATATGTTTATTGCTGAGGGATAAAATATGACTGCTCTTTTGTTTAGTTTTGAATGTCTAAGAATGAATTTGCAATTCATTAAAAAGTGAATCTTTGTGTACATATTAGAAAATAGATAAAATAATTACCCGTTAATAATTAATGTGTGTTAATTATGGATGAATAGCACTCGCCCCTCTGGAGCAGTGATAGGAAAAAAGCATTGTGCATGAATGCTGGTTCAGAGAAAAGTATGCTGTGTGCTCATTTATGTGACTGATTTGTGAACAAAGGGTGCATACTCCTTGACTCTTTCATACTTTGATTTCCGAAGTGTGCTAATTAAATTTGGCTCTTGTTTGCTCAACTTGAGCTATTGCATTTAGAAGTCTCATAATCCAGTTTGTCTCTCCCAGACACACCCTTTGTTGTCCCAAAACGAATTGTTCATTACCCTTCAGCCATTTTAATAGTTGTCTACTGTATTAAAAAAGATTGTAATGTCCTGAAGTATAAATACTATAATAAGTAGAATGGAGATAATGGCAAATGAGATTTCAAGCATATTTGTATGGACAGAATTTCTTTTTAATCCACAGATATGTTGTTAGATGTTTAGCTATTTTGGTTGTTGTTGTTGCTAATTTAGTACCGTATAAACAAAATAGATATAAAACTGATATAATTCTTAATTTTGGCTAACGTGTATAGAATTGTAAGAAGTCTCTGTTCCTTTAAAAGTTGCCTTTTAAAGAATCTAACCAGTTCATCAAAAATAAAATAAATGTGATTAAAAACGAAAGGTTTTGCTGGCCTCTCTGTAAAAGCTTTTAATTGATTTACAGGATTGCTTACAAGTGCATTGTTGAGTATAATACACACTCGTTAGAATAGGTAATTGCAGAGTACTTTTTTTGCACTCAGTACGCATATTTGTGACAATGCAGCAGCCAATATATAGACTCTCCCTATAAGTTAACTGGGTTCTATCACTTGGAACAAGCCTGAAGATGTCCCTTATGGGCTGCGGAGTGGAGGTCAAAGAGTTCTTATTGCTGTGAAAATCTGTATTGCCAATTAAAACGCAAGGGAAGTTACAAAAGAATAGTCTTACTGAATTAGTGATTGCAACTTGATTTACACTGAATCACCACAAAAGAAGTATAATTAGTTCTTGAAAATTTCTCTGTTTCTTGAGGTTGAGTTTGATTATTTCTGTTGTTTCTAGGTCCTACAAGTTTATAAAGAAAGAACTGTAGCTGTTCAATAACTGGGGTGTTATAGGAAGAGATACATATATAAAATATGAACCCATTTCTTACCATATAAATAGCCCATTTATAGATAGTCTAAAAAGGATTTTATAGTTGATGGAATTGTGAATCATTGGACATTCAACTTTGTGTTCATTGCTCATACTTAAACTCAGAATATGTTTGGCTTCTGAAGCAGCTCTATTATTGCTTCATAAAAGATCCAGAATGCCAGACATTTTACTGCTTTGTCTGTGTACTGAGTGAGTCATATGGGAATCTTGGTGAGTTTCACAAGAGGGGGTGGTAGGAAGGAAAACTGATTCTCATGTATGCATTTTGTCATGTCTCTTCCATCTCCCTGCTTCCCAGCTATTTCCAGTATAATAACAACTTTTCTGTTTTTAAATGAAGAGTAATATTTCTGTGGAAATAGGAAGCACAACTTTATGTTTAGAAAAAAAGTAAATGGAGCACTTGAAGATAACATTTTCTCTTGCTGGTTCTGCAGTAGAACGTATGAATAACGTTGGAAGAAGCCAATCTATTGAGCTAGGATGGTTACCTTTAGCTTATAAATGTTCAATAACACTAAACATTAAAGAGAAATTATATTTTACAGGTGCAAAAATGAATTATTTTTTTAAAAAATATGCCAATACAGAGTTATGTGAACTTTCTTTTTATATGTTTGAATTTTTATTGCCAGTTGCCAATCCTTGCTAAAATCAAGTTTGGAAATCTAAAATTAAGAATGTTGGACTGAAAAATATGGAAACTAGCCTCACTTTTAACCAGTAACTGTGGTCAACAAATAGTATATTTTTTCTGTTTTTGAAGTGTTCCGTTAGTGACATCAAATTGTATGGACCAAATATTCAAAAGTTAAAATCTAATTTTTATTTGTCTAATGTCCTGATTTTATGCAGGAAGGTTTTTATTACATGCAACTGAAAAGCTACATATTTTTAAGGGACTGCAAGTTGTTTTCTCCATTCTGGAGGCTGAAAAAAGAGAGTTGGTAAACTGCACTGTCTGAATTCCTGTCTCAAGAAGCTTGAGTGGAGAAATCTGTAAAGATTCTGATTTCTGTGTGAATGCATAGATGTATACATCAACTTGAAGCTTGTTGTTTTAGTTTGCTCATTGTTTTTTTGAAATAAAAACTTCTTTCATAAGAAAATAGTGGCTTCTCCTAAACATTTTCTTGAAAGATATTATGTTTATATTTGATATGCATGTTTAGTCATTCATTGCTTGGCAGAAGCTGGTGAATTTGAGTTGAAGATTCTTTTCTTTTTCAGTTGCCTTTTAATCTTAGCAGAGGGTGAGGCAAGGGGTGTTCTAGTTACATTAGCCAAATGATTTGCTTAATTAATCAGCCTTGCAGCATAGATGAAAGGATAAGTGTGGGGAGTTGGCTTGGGAAAGAAGTTGCTTGCTTCTAATAAGTTGCTGAAAAAAAAAAGAACAAGTGAGAGATCCAGTCCTGATGGAAATTCAGTACAATAAAATGTGTGTGGACATGTATATGCAAGCATTACATTGTATCTTCTTCTATAAACTAAGTACTGTATATTTTAAATGTGACTCCAAGATCAGGCCCAGCAGAGTATGTAAAAAATATCTGTTTATATTTAAATTCTGCCTAAAATGCTAGAATTATATTTAGTTCAGAACTCAGAGAAACTTGAATTGGTCTTCTTACTGTTCCTTTCCTTCTTCCTTAAATATTCCATTTAGTATCACTAATTAGATTGTGTGCATGAGTCCTGCTAAGATCTTTCTCCCTTTGTTGTTGTCCATATCCACCACCATGTGGTTTTGGTCACAGAGAGTTTTTGTATCTTGTGAATGTTTTATAAATTAAATTCTAGAATTCTCATTTATAATAGTCTCTATTTCAGTATAATTTTTTGCAGAGAAAGATTACATAGATTACATCATTCCGACAGGATTTGCTTAAATACACATTTCCTCAATTTAGGAATGATTCACTTATTATCAAACTCAGTTTTTTGCTATAACAAAAAACTACAGAAATTAGAAGTGGTATGATAACCATAATTATTTGTATGTATATAAGAAATCTTTAATTTCACTTCATTCCTACTGATTCCATTCATACCAGAAATTCCCAGATCGTTCACATATAAGTGTATATAGGAAGATACACTTAAAATAAGTTATACTTTCTGTTTGATGGGCTTATTTTTAGTTTTCTTGGGAAGTCTTTGAAATAGAACTAGATTAGTCCTTAAAATAAATTTCATTATTGAAATTGTTTGGAATGAAATAGAGAAGGTGCAGTTCTGTAGGTATAACTATAAAAGCTTTGTTTCCCAAGGTGTGGATTTCATAATGCATATTACCTCTATATTTCTCTTGAAGTAATAATGATGGAAGCAATTCTTTCTTTAAGTTGTGGAAATATTGAATTGATTCTGAAGGAATAGTCTATAATGGCCTTCCCCGGTGTGAGTGGCATTCTGACATCGGGAGTTTGATTCTCAGAATTCTCCAGGTAGCATAGGCATTACTGATTATTATGAATCATATGGGACCTTACTTGGGGAAAACTGATTGATAGATGGTAAGTTATGTATCTGAAGTATTTCTGGACAATCTAGCTGAATGTATTAGAATGCATTTCTCCAAGTTCATGTTAGTTACATTTTGGACTGAAACGTCGTATAGCTATACCATATGGTGGGATAGGTTTATTGTGGCAAGAAAGATGTTGGTAACAGAGAGGTAGTTTGAAATAATACCACAACTTTCATTGCCTGGGATGAACAATGATACTGTTAAAAGGTCTGGTATTAGCTGATTTCC